TAGGGTTTTGCTCACACTTGCCGGGTAAGCTACTTTCACCGCTTGAACTTGCTTTGCCATTCTCTAGCTGGCGAATCATGTTGTTCAGGTCGGTGATTTGTGTAGAAACCTCAGTAAGAGAAGAAAATAAAATTTCTCTGTGCTAAAATGCTAAGTTACAATATGTTGACAGTTATCAAAATTTAATTATTTAACTTCAACTAAATCAATATTTCAACAGTTCAAACATAATTTTCTATTTAATTCTAAAGCAATAGCAATGGTTTTGATATGAATGTTATTAATTATAGTTTGATGGTTTTAGAAACATATGTTTATAATAAATATTTGATAAATAAATAAATTTTGTAATTCAAATAATCATATTCATTAATGATTTTTTTAAATGACATTTTGCTTTATATAATTTCAAAAGAGGACCAAGTGGCAATTTAGGAGAGAAAATATATTACATTTGTCATTAGCATGAAAGTACTTAAAAATATATTGCTTTTATTTTTACATATATATTTATTGTTAGTTAGCTAAACAAATTTGATAGCAAATTATAATTTTGAAAAATTAAAAATTAAGAATATACAATGTTTATTCAGATTTAAAACATATAAATACATAACTTGAGCTAATAACAAAATAAATATAATATTCATTTATATTATAAAAATAATTTTATTATATTAAAAATATATACAAAATTTAGAAAAATATCCCGAAGCGTAGCGCGGATAAATACCTAGTTACTAATAAAAATTGATGATATATGCATCTAAGAGTGTCCACATAGGATTTAAAAGATTCAATGATATTGATACACATCATCATCTATAGTTAATTATATATACTAAAATTAATTAATTTTGTTTTTCTTGTTATAAGTAAAGTTTCTAAATTTAATTAGTTTTTTTTGTTATTAAGAAATTTTCTAAATTTTTCGATAATTATTAATAATAATAAATTTAAAAAGTATGGAAAGTAGATCTTGTTTTTCTATTAACAATAACAAGAAAATTAACATATTTTTAGATTATATAAAAAATCATATAAATTAAAAAAATCATTTCATTGGTCCACATCATTTTTTATTATTAATTATATTTTTAAGTTAGTGTTTTTTTCGAAAACAGATATATTTATTACGAAACGTTACAATCCGAATACAAGGTGTTGTTGAGCCATAACGGAATACAGACACAATCAAAGTAAAAAGAATTATTCGGAGGGTCATGTTGAGATAGGAGATGGGCAGCTTTGTTACATAAATGGAGTTAAATTTATGCATCCAAGTGTTAATAACATGTAAAAGATTTGAAATACGTAAATCATGATCGTTTGTTTGAAGGAGAGTAAAAAGTACAAGACAATCACCCTCAAAACAGAGGTGGTCATATCCCATAGCCCAAGAATGTTGGAGAGTCACCAATAGGGCTTTGGCTTCGGCTTCAAGAGGAGATGTTGTTGTTCCCAGATTTGCTGAACCCTAATATTTGCTTCGTCCGTGGGAATCACGAATGATCCAACCGGCTGTGCTCTGTTGAGTCTGGAAATTAAAAGAGGCATCATAATTGCATTTAAGAAACCCTGGATTTAGGGTAGACCAAGTTGTTGGTGGAGAGGGAGCTTTGGTAGGTGTAGATAGCGGTGTGTGGGTCGTTATCCATTCATTAACTTTGGCATTAGTTTTGTTCACATTACGTCCGATATTAACTTGTTTATTTTGGAAAATAAGGTTATTTCGTGATTTCCAAATGCGCCATAAAATCCAAAAAAGAAGCAGTTTAGTATGGGATGTTAAACCTGGTGTTGCATAGGCGTCAAGAATCATGTTGATAGTGTTCTCAGTATCTCATGAGGGGATAGTGAGGAAGTTAAAAGGGGTCTTGCTAGTTCACCATGTAGAGATAGAAACTGGGTATGTAAAGAATAGGTGATGAATAGTTTTTGGGGCTAGACCACAACGAGCACAGGTCTTAACAGTGATAATACCACAATTTTGGAGACGCGTTGTTGTTGCTAAGGCCTTGGATAAAAGCTACCATAGGAACATCAAAATATTTTTAAGTTAATTATGTTCTTTTTCAATTATTAAAAAAAATCTAAATTTTAATATTATACTAACTAATAAAAAATATGAAGATAAGCAAATCATGCAGAATGATGCTATGAGCTTTTAAGGGTGTCCACATAGGATTTAAAATATTTAATTTTATTTGTACACATCATCTATAGTTAATTATATATATTAAAATTAATTAATTTTGTACTTATCATTATTAGTAAATTTTCTAAATTGTTTTTTTTGTTATTAGAAATTTTTTTAAACTTTTGGATAATAATTAATAAGAATGAGTTTAAAAAGTATAAAAATTAGATCTTATCATATTAATAATAAAAAGAAAATTAACATATTATTAGATTATAAAAAAATCATTTTATTGGTACACATCATTTTTGTAATTAATTATATTTGTAAGTTAACTATTTTCTATTTTAACTTATTAAGAAAATTTCCAAATTTTAATATTATACTAACTAATAAACTATATAAAGATACAGAATATAGAAAAAAATAAAAAAATCAACTTAATAAAAGATTAAAATAATCTACTAATTAAAAATAACACTTTCAATTATATAAAAATCATCTAAAATTAAGAATAAAATTTTATTTTACATATAATTTAAATAAACTCATGTTTAATGAACACTTTATTTATTGTAATATAATAATTTTATCACCATTGTTTGTTATAAGTTATTATAAAGATTAATTGTTTAAAAATATATATATTATACCTATTACTTATAAAAAATAAAACTATTTGCAGGTAATAATATTCAGATGATTTGAAACAAACAATACATAAAACAAATGATGCTAAAGATGATGACAAAAGTTATTTTCTTTGGTTGGAAGAATTAAAGTATTATTATATATTTTTATCTCATTATCATGTTTATTAAATAGAATTTTTTTTTAGACTTTTAGGTGACTTTTTTGGTATATTAAATTACAAGTGTTTGATCAAATAAAATATTTTTAAAATTAGTCATATACAAATTCTTATAAAAAACTATAAAGACAAAAAAAATTATAATTTGAACAACTTTATGTCAGCATTTACAAATATAAATATACTTTTGCTACATAAATTTGATCTAAACTATATTTTGACATGATAAAATACAATCTCAATTAGATTTTGGTATATCCAAAACTCGTGTATTTCAAAGATTTTTAGTTTTGAAAGGTTGATCGATTTTTATTTGTTGATTTTGTTTCAAAACAGAAGTATAAATATTTGAGCTCATTTTAATTGATGTTCTAGCTAATAGTATACTAATTTAAAAAAACATAATTCATATTTAAAAATATAATTTAATAAATAATATAAAGAAATAAATATAATAAAAACAGAAGGCAAATAGTCAAAAAGTTAATATATTCTTGGTGAACTTAAATAGTAAATAATAAGTAAAAAAAAGAATTAATATTTTGATTTAAAAGTTGTTAGCCATTGGTAAAAGACTTTTGAACTGCTTTGACTAAAATGTTTCTTTAACTAATTATAGATTAAAATAAATTGTAAATTTGGATAGATAGAAGAGATAATCAAACAAAGTGGGACAAAAAAAAACTTTGATCATTAATTAAAATAAAACAGAGTAATTATATACTACTTTAGTAAGACATTTTACAAAGTTAAATAAAATATTTCTATATAAGAGATTATTTTTTTGAGAACTTTATATAAATTCTAAATTTTTGTTTTATTTGAGAATTTATATATTGTTACCATCTAAAAATAATCATCTAAAATATTTTAAAATCAAACATGTTTGTGTGATTTATCTATTTGCAACCAACTCGTTACCAGTAATAAAATTTAAAAACCAATTTTAAATACTTGAAAGAACTGAATACAATTTTTTTATTTAAATTGGTTAATTATTTAAATTTTCTTTTAAGAAATAGATAATACATATTATAAATATTTATTTTATGATTAATTTATAATATAAAACATATATTAGTCAATTTTTTTTAAATAATCATAAAAATTTATATAAAAACTAACTATAGGAAAAACATTAAATAATTTTTTATAACCACAAATTACATTAAAAACTACTATTGTAAATATTATTAATCAAAATATATAGCAAAATATTTATAATATATATCCGCGCACAAATGAAAAATCTAGTTATATTAGTAAAAGATTCATAGAGTATCTCATCAATAAAGATCAAAAATTCAAAGTAATTTTTTTATACTAAATTATACTATTAATATTACTATTATAATGTTTACTAAAAGATTCATAGAGTATGTTAATTTATTTATAATCTATTATAATATTACTAGTAAACTCCAGTTTTCTCCTTTATTTTATGTCTTACTGAAGTTGTTTGTTCGTAAAATCTGTATCGTCGATGTCGCATGGTTTTATAGCTCTGTTCGTTTGCTTGACGCAGCAACTGCGATATGCGTTTAGTTGCTGTTCGTTTCACCTTCTCCTTTTTAGGCATAGTTTTCGGAAATATCTCTATGTTTTTAATAAAATCAGATGACAAAACAATTTTTTTTTGAATTTTGACATTTACCAAAATTTTCAAAATTATGGATCTGATTGATTGCTAGATTGTGAGAGCTGTTAGACATTTCACAGTCTGGACAATCAAAATAACACCAATTTTGACTAGATTTTATTGAACAATCAAAATTTTAGTCTAAAATTTATGAAATAATAAAATCCTATTTTCTATTCATTTTTATGTCAATAATTAAATATTTTTTTCTCTAAAATAATTTTAATCATAGCAATATAAATACATATGAAGATATATTTCAAATTTACCATTGTAATTTATTTCATCTCCATAAATATATTGGCATATATAATTGAATTTTTTATATATACTTTTTTGAAAATAAATTAATAATTACAGCTTCTACAGTTTTTATTAACAATTAGACTTTAAAAATATTTAAAGTAATAATGACAGTTTTTAAAATCAGAAATTCTACAGACAAAACAGTCACAGCCTACGGTCACATTCATTACCAATCGGAGCCTCTGTACTAAAAATCTATTAAGTGAAACAAAGCGACCGTTTTTAACCCAGCCTTATTTGCACACTTTCTTCGTTTTAATCATCGCCGCCGGCAAATTGTTCGGTTAAATATTCCCCGGCGATTCTACAAGGTTCCGAAGTCATGCACTGCCTCTCTAAGCGCTCTGTCTCTTCTCTTCTCCGATCCGGTTCCCATCTCCGCGGCGATGCTACGGCGGCCGTCTCCTGTTCCTCTCCCTTCTCCGACTCGGTATTTTCTCACACGCGAAATTTCGAAAATTTCTCATCCTAAGTGATAAACAAGCATTACCTTCTCTGAATAATTAAAAACAATCCCTTTTTTAATCTGCTACTTTTAGGTTCTGTATCGGAACTGTTTATGGATTGGGCATTTTTGGGCGTATTTTCTTAGAAATTTTTTTATCTTTGCATCTTGAGAGTAGGTTAGTAATTCTTGATTTTGTGCTGCTTCTTGATGTTACCTATTTAGATTATCCTAAAGATTTTGACTAAGATTAGTCTATATAAAGTTGTGATTTTTGCAGGTTCTTGCTGTTACCATTGTAGATTAGCCAATAAATTTTGATTAAGATTAGTCTATAAAGTTGTGATTTTTGCAGCTTCTTGATGTTAGTACCTGTGTAGAGTAACCTATAGATTTTGATTAAAATTAGAAAGTTGTGATTTTTCAGCTTCTTGCTGTTACCAATGTAGATTATTAGCCTATAAAGTTGTGATTTTTGCAGCTTCTTGCTGTTACCAATGTAGATTGGCCTATAAATTTGTGATTTTTGCAGCTTCCTGCTGTTTTCCTAGAAATCTTGATTTAGATTAGTATGTCTTGTTGTTGTCATTTGACGGTATGGTGTTATACAGGACGGTATAGGAGTAGTCAGTGGGATCAATAAGTTTCATTCTCGAGCAGGAAATGCTATCTTATGGAGAAACAGTCCGCAATACAGTTCTCAGGGAAGCTTTCTTGAACGAGAACAAGCCTCGTTTTCGGGGTTCCGATGCTTCAGCGATGGCAGTGGTGATACTTCTCCTCGCTTGGACCGGGACTTTTTGGCCCAGCTATGGGTTTCAGATATGAAAAAGCTAAAGGCCATGGAAAAGCGACAACGGAAAGCTTCTAAGCATAGGGAGTATCAGATTGATGAGCAATCTTCTTTAGCACAGTCTGATGAAAACCATTATGAGCATGCTAAGCCTACGCCGCAGCAACCACCGGTTAGCCAGTCTATGTCTGGTCTTCTGAAGCCTACATCTTCTGATGAGGTGACTCATTTATCTTTCCTATGTATTTCTGGCTTGAGATAATCTTCATGTATGTATGAACTGTGTATGTAATTTTCTATCTTTTTTGCTTGTTAGTGCAAGAGCGTGTAAAAAGCATCACCAAGTATCTTTTGTTGGGTGCCACTTTATCTCTCTGACATTACGGTGGTTTTAAACTTAAAAAAAATTGTTTTTCTGTCACTCGTATAGATGGAACCAAGATTAATTGGTTAGCTTACAGTGTTAATTTGATATTTATTGTTATTTTCTGGTTTTTTAGGTTGGGAATTTAACTCATTGTACTCTTCTTCTTCTTCCTGATTTTCTCGAAATGTTGGAAATCTTAATATTGTTTTTTTTCTTCTTAGGCCAAAATTGCCACTCTGCTTGCACGGTCTAATTTACTTGTTACAAGGGACATTGAATGGGCAAATCTGGTTCTTGGTTTTGAACAGGTATTTTTCTGCCACTTTCCTCAATTTGACTATGTAATATAGCTGCTTGTTTCTGATAAATCGACTTTACCATATATGTAAACTCTTGCATATCTTTCATCTTCTTTCTCCCACGCTTGGTTGTGTAGCTGTTATACCACTCTTGTAACCTAATCTTGTTTCTGCAGGAAAATCGCTATGCTGTAGTTGATGTTTGCTATCCTCAGGCGGTAAGTGATATCTCAACGAATATATTTTCGGCTTTCATTTACAAAAAAAATTGAGTGTTGAGGGCACTACTGATACCTGAAACCATTAGTTCATATCAAATCTTCTGTATTTCAAGCCTCTCTTTTTCTCTCTTTTTTGACAGCCTGTTGGGTCTATTCGGGAGCAAAGCCATGTTATTGCGCGGCAGGTCACATTCTTACTCTGAACTTTAGTTATCTTTCTGTGTTAATACTTTAAACTAGCTGTTACCAATAAGCAGTGTTTTTGATTTTGACATGTTAGTTTCATTCAACGCACAATTCATTGCTTTTGCTAACCAATTGTGAATATCATGTTCGTACTCTATTTCCTTCTATGAGCATATGAACGAGCAGGTCAAGTTTGTATTGTCTGCTTAGACTTTTTGTGAATAATTGAATGTCTAGGCGTAAAGGCTTCACTTCTTTTGTCACGCATTAGATTCTTCAGAGGAATTATTTAGATTTGTTGCTTGAACATCTTTCTCTCAGGAAGGTTTACACTGAGACTTTGTTTCTCATTGAAAATCTTGTTGCTAGCTCTCAACGGTATCCTCCATTGCCTCTGTTATATTGTTCTTCTTATCTAGTCTTTATGTTTGGAGGAAGTACTCTGAAATTACGACATAAATCAAGAAATGATTAGTTTGCTTAAAAGCACTAAGACGAGACCTGTGTGTATTCTTTTGCTAGCTCAGAAAAGTTGTATCTCATCAATTACATATCGTGTTATTAGTAATTTTCTTGTGTCTACCAAAATAAGAAAAAAACAATTCCATATGATTCTAAATATATTTGCAGCTGCTTCGTACAAGGCGTCCATTTGTTGCTTCCATAACTGATTCTTTGGGTAATGAGCTTTTCCGGGTAAGGTTTCTTGGATTATGATGTTTCAAAACTTGCAGCAAGATAAGTCTTCGTCGATTTGTTCTTTTGCTGAAGTAATTCATCTACATCAATTAGGTTCGTAGACCTTTCTGGTGGATCACAAGTTCAATATATGCTGAGATTGATGGAAAGGTACACTTGAAAGCCATACAAAACAGTAATCCAACGTTGGATGTTCATTTTTCGGCTCATTCGCTTAGTTCGCTACTGGTGTAGGAAATTGGTGTGGTTCATCGACGGTGGCATCTATGGAGAAGAATATATGATCTATACTTGGGGTAATAAACTTCAGTACTAATTTCTTCTCATGTATATATATTTCCAAGCTTTTTCTTTTCATTGGCTTTTAAAAGCTTGATTGACCTATGAATGTTAAGAATGATAGATAGTGATAAAATCAATGTGTTGCTGATCGACAAAAATGTGACATAAACATTTGCTGTATGCAGGAACGACCAGTTTGCAGTGGTGGAGAATCCTGGGTTTTGGAATTGGACATTTACAATTAAAGGTGATGATGGGGAAGTGTTAGCTCAAATAGATCGTGACTGGAGAGGTTTTGGCTTTGAGGTTTGTGTTCTTTTAACTTCTGCAAAAAGATCAGCCAAATGAAGAATCTCTTGAAAATTGAAAACATAGCTTGCTTAATGTGGTGACCAAAAAGCCTTTTGAAAATCTTGAAATGTTTTGCATTGCACATTGTGGATGAAAAAGTCTAAAGTTGTTTCTTGATATTATGTTAATACAGATATTAACAGATGCTGGCCAGTATGCGATCCGGTTTGGAAAATCCGATGCTGCATCCAAAACCGGTCCTGCTACAATGGTGAGGTTCTTAACCCTAACAGTATTTGTTTTGGTTGTTTAATTTTGAAGTAGAGATTTGATGAAGTTTTTGTTACTGGAACTCATATACAGATAGAAGAGTTAGAAGTGAAACGGCCACTGAGTTTGTCTGAAAGAGCCGTTGCTCTTGCGCTTGCTATTTCACTAGATAATGATTACTTTTCAAGACATGGTGGCTGGTAAGTACAACTTTTTTTTTTTTATGCTTATTCAGTCTCTTAATTAAGCATTGTCAAATTACACATAACCGACAAACGGAACCAAACCGGATAGTATAAATATACGAATGGTTCCATGTTCAAAATATTTCGAAATTCTGAATAGAATTAATGATTTACCCGAAATACAGTTTTATATACACACACACATATATATATGTAATTAGTTACTTTTAGAACTGAATACCCAATATTATAATTATAAACTCAAAAATATTAGTAAACTTAAAATACTCAAATGGCTTTACTTAGATGATTGAATATAGGAGGATGCAAGATAATTTTAAAATAGCTGATTTCGAAATAATTCAATTTTTTTGTTGGGAATTTTAACTAATTCTATCAAAATAACAACGAAAATGATAATAATTAACTTTTTACATTTTCTCATTTAAATTTTATTAAAATGACAGTGCCATAAGAAATGTAATTAAATTTTATAACACTAACATTTAATAGAAAAATCAGTACAACAAAAAACACAAATGTCTTTCATGACAAAAAACACAAATGTCTTTCGTGCTGATGACACCTCAGTATTTTAGAGTTTTCTGAAGATGACATTTCAGCAAAAAAATTCATCAATCAAAACATTTTATTAATACAACTCATTTATTTATTTTAATTTTTAAACTTAAATCCATTAAAAACCCAAATATATTTTTTGTTAATCTTTGTTTTATTTTTTAACAAATCTGAGTCTAAATAATGAATAACAGAAAATAAAAAAATCTTTGTTTTATTGTTTGTCAAACCCAAGCCCAAATAATAAATAACAGCAAATAAAAAAAATTATTTTATTTTTTGCAAAATCCAAACCCAAATAATAATTAACAGCAAAAAAAAATTGTAGTTATCTGTTTGTTTGACACAGACGTATATGATTGAAGAAAATGTAGGCTCAGCAACAACTATGCTTCCATAACAATAATGCAAAAAGTCTTATGTTATAAAAAGTTCACACATCAACAAAAATTTGAACTAATCAAAACATAACAATAATACATATCATCAACACAATAATAAAATCAGTTTAATATTTTGCTGACCCATTAAAACATCCAAAGTTTACAAAAAAAATATAAGTCAAAAGCAAATTGGAGAAGCTAAGACCACTACAGCTTGAAGATTCGCATTTTTGGTGGTTACCAAGAACAAATTTTCTTGGCTTTGGCGGGAATATGGAATTTCTTGGTTTCAGTAGAAAAAATGTGATTTTTAGTTTTTGTAGGAAAACATAATTTTTCCAGTTATGGCAAAAAAAGCGAATTCTCAAATTTGGCGGAAAAATGTGAATTTTTGATTTTAGTAAGAAAAAAAAAATATTGGACAACATCAATTTCTCGGTTTGATGGGAAAACAAAATTTTTCGGTTTTGGTTGGAATAAGCAATTTTATGGTTTCGATGGAAAATGCAAATTTTTAGTTTTTGACATATAATGCGATTTCATAGTTTTCGCGTGAAAATGCGATTTCATAGTTTACGCGGAAAACACAATTTCTCGGAAATAATGCAATTTTTGGTTTTTCTAGGAAATTGTAGTTTATCGGTTTTGGAAGCAAAGCGTGATTCTTGGTTTGACGAGAAAAATGAATTTTTTGGTTTTGGCGGGAATAAACGATTTCTCGATTTTTGGGGAAAAATAAATTTTTCGGTTTTGACGAAAAAATACGATTTTCGGATTTTCGAATTTTCGGAAGATGAAACTTTTTGGTTTTGGTGAAAAAACTTGATTTTTCGGTTTTGGTGGAAAAACACAGGTTCTTGCGGAAAAATGTGATTTTTTGGTTTTTGCGGCAAAATGCAATTTTTTTGGTTTTGGTGGGAAAGTGAAATTTTAGGTTTGACGAGAAATTTTTTTTTTTGTTTTGGCGGAAATAGGCTATTTCTCAGTTTCGTGGGAAAATGAATTTTTTTTTGTTTTGATGGAAAATGCGATTTTTCGATTTTTGTAAGAAGATATTTCAAGTTACAATATGTTTACAGTAACCAAAATTTAATTGTTTAACTTCAACTAAATTGATATTTCAACAGTTCAAATCAAACTGAATTTTTTTTTTAGTTTTAAAGCAATAGGTTGGTAGTTTTAGAAACATGTTTATAATAAATATTTGATAAATAAATAAATAAATTTTAAAATCAAAATAATTAGATTAATTAATATATTTTTTTAAATGACATTTTGTTTTATATAATTACAAAGGAAGATCAAGTGGTAATTTAGTGGAGAAAATAAATTACATTTGCCATTAATATGACTATACTTAAAAATGTATTGTTTTATTCTTATATATACATTTATAGTTAGTTAGTTAAACAAATTTGGTAGTAAATTATAATTTTTTAAAACTAAAAAATTAAAGATATACAATGTTTATTCAGGTTTAAAACATATAAATACATAACTCAAGCTAATAAAAATAAATGTGATATTTATCTATATTATATAAATAATTTTATTATATTAAAAATATATACAAAATTTAGAAAAATATCCGCAGCTTAATACAGATAAATACCTAATTCTATTAAAATGACAATGCCATAAAAGTTCCAGTAAAATTGAATAATACTAACATTTAATCGAATTAAAAAGTAATTTAAAAAAATGAATACTAATATTTAATCCAATAACACATGAATTATTATAATTTGTGAAGTACAACATTGATTGAATGTTGAAGTACAAAATTTTATAAAAAAGTTAATTCCTTTTAATTCAATTAAATTCATTAATTGAATGCCTCCCCCTTAATAACTACAACGAAGAGAGAAGACGTATTATCTGATATATTATGGTGTTTATTGATTGTTTTTGGCAGGGGAATCCCGTTCATGGCGGTGGGCGAGTAGTTAGGTTTTAGTCTTCCACACTCTCTTGTTTTCGAGTAAAATGACTCGTGTCATCGTGTGGCTATCTGAAAACTTGAGCCTTGTGTTGTGTTTTTCGATATCTCGTTGCAACTCTTAAGTAGATGAAACATTTATATAATGATGATTATTTTGAAAGATAATAACCAAATGGGTCAAAAGTGTTATATATATTGATGATACATGTCTCTAAACAAAGAATCATCACCAGAAGTCATTGCAAGAACAAGATCCGTCTCTAAAGTGATGGAATCTACTACTGTCTCTCACAATAATATTTCGTTGATAGATACGAGACAGCAACTTAGTTACAGAGTGACAATCATTACACACCGTAAGATTCTTGACTACTCTTATTGGACTCTTGCTGTTGTTGTTAATTAGACCATAAGCTATAGCCAATCTCTCACTATGCAACTCTAATTCAGCTTCTTTCCCTTTCTCTTCTTCAATCCTCAACAGAATCTGTCTAGTATCTGGAACGTGTCCTGCTTCTTTCAGCTTCTCCTTCATCTCCTTTAACTTTGCATAGATCTCCTCTGATTGTTCATGTGATCTATCTCCTACAATAAACCTATGAGTCACACCTTTTCTCTCTATCAAACTCCATCCAGCTTCTTTCTTGATCCCTTTCTTCTTCATCGTCTCTCTCACTTCCGAAACTTTTTCCCATTTTCCAGCAGCCGCGTACATATTCGACAGCGGAACATGCCCCTCTGGAGCCAGCTCTATCAACCGTCTAGCAGCGTATTCACCAATCTCTACATCTACGTAGTTCCTGGCTCCGTTTAACAGGCTCATCCAAATAACTTTGTTTGCTCTTATCGGCATTTCCTCGATAATCGTTTTCGCCTCTCGGAGATGTCCCGTCCTGCATAACGCGTCAACTAAGCAGCCGTAATGCTCGATTTCACGCTCAACTCCATACTCATTCACCATGGAATCGAAGTAGAAACGAGCTTCTTTTACATAACCAACGTGGCTACAAGCGTTCAACAACCCAACAAAGGTCACTCCGTTAGGCTTTATACCGCTCTCTTGCATCTTCTTGAATAGTTCTAATGCTTTATCCGCCTTCCCGTGCATCCCTAGCCCGGCGATAACCGAGTTCCAGTGACCTAACTTCTTTCTATGTATTGATCTGAATGTTGTTAACGCACTCTCTATGCTTCCACACTTGGAGTACATCTCTATCAGTAAAGTTCCGATCACACCGTCCGATCCAATCCCGTTCTTGACCATATACGAATGAACCCATTTCGCGGTACTGAGAATAGCGGATGCAGCCACCGCGGAGATTAGACTCGTGAAGGTCGCATTGTTAGGTTTGAGATCATCTTCTTCCTTCAACATTCTGAGAAACGTACACAAAGCTTCTTCGAACCGGCCGTTTTTCTCGAATCCTGCAATAACCGAGTTCCATGTGATCAGATTCCTCTCAGGCATTGTATCAAACAGTTCGGAAGCTGATTCGAAATCCGCTGATCGCATATACCCGTTGATCATCGTGTTCCAAGAAACCGAGTTCTTTGTTGGCATCTTATCAAACACATCTCTAGCAGCCTCGATTCTTCCCGATTTCGAGAACCCGTGAAGCAACGCTGTCCAAGAATACGAATCTCTCTCGGGAATTTCATCGAACAGCTTCACCGCCGTTTCGACATCTCCACTACGGGCGTAACCATCGATCAAAGCGTTCCAAGTAAACGAATCTCTCTCACGCATTTCATCAAATACCTTGCGTGCACAATCAAGCATTCCGCATTTCGAATACAAACTAACCAAACTGCTCTGGACGAATTTATCCGAGGTGAGATTAAACTTCAGGGAAACGCCATGGATCTGCTTTCCTTCTTCAGCCGCACATAAACGAGAACACCCCTTTAAAACGCAAGGCAGTGTGAAGTTATCCGGAGAGAATTCGCTGAGCAGATCGGAGAATAAACAGATGGCGTCGTGTGAGCGGTGGTTTTCGACATAGCACTTGATCATCATGTTCCATAAGGGAAGGCAAGGGGTTTTGATCCTATCGAAAACTGAGCGAGCGTAGATTAGGTCGTTGATGGGTCGGCACGTGTAGAGGGAGAGAAGGCGGGAAGAGATGGAGGAGTGGTTGAAAGTTCCGGTTTTGAGAGACAAAGAGTGAAGCTGCTTAGCTTCTTCTATGGTCTCTGAGGAGCTGAAGAGCGATAACTGCTGCTGGTGGTGGTGGACGACGGAGGATGGCGCCACCGCTGCTGCATTTTGCATTTTGAAGATTGAAATTCAGTAGATAAAAAAATCAGTTTGGAGAGACGAAGGGATGTGTATTTTTTTGAGTGATTTACAAAGAAATACAATTTTTCAGTTTTGGTCAGAAGAAAAGGCATTTTTGCTAATTTGGGCATTTTGCTAAATTTTTTGTCACTTTTATAATTGTGCTCCTTCCATAATATTTTTGTTTAAAATTCGACTGTTAACCAGAATAACATATAATCAAGTCTATATAATAAAGTGAGGGTAGTAAAATAAGTGTTAATGGTGGACGAGTTAGATATGAATATATCTGTAATCATTTTCAAGACAAACAACTATTTATGTAACTATGTCCATCGCTAAACATCATTATTATGGATGAGCATATGTGAATATGGTATTTGTGAATGAAATAAAATGAAAACGTTAAAATTATTGATTAATATTTGTGGATTTGTTTTTATTTCGATGTTGTTGATGTAGATGTTGTTGATGTATATTTATGAATAATATAAGAGGAATAGAGAATCAAAGGTGGTTCCATATAAAGACGGATTCTGTCATAAGGTATCTACAAAACAGTATGCATGATGATCCATCGTAAAAATTCCATAAAGCGGTATGTAAGTTGAATTATGTTAGATTTTCGTAATAATACTATATCTTGTGGTTCATGTCATCCACGAAAGCACATCTAGAAGTGGCATTCATGATACATCCACGAAATGACATCCATATGTAGCAGATGCTTCATAAATACCATTAAGCAGACTATCAATGACTGTACATGAACATTTATTCATCAATAAACATCCATCTATCTATGACTGTTCGAATCTCTTAATGGATGTTCGAATCTCTCAATTCATAAAAGATGGAGAGATAAAATGCTTTTTAGAGTTTAAAATTTCTAGGTTGTTATTTATCCAGAAAATGACATTTTTATTTACTGATTTGAAAAGAGAGAAAAGAAAAAGATAAGAGATGGAAAGAAGAAAAGAAATACTTTTTTAAGAGCATAACTAAATTTTTCTCAAGCATAAAATGTTTTTGTTGTAAGAAGTTTTTTTTTCTGATATTATATTTATTGTAAAGTGCTCGTTTCATAATTTTCTGATTTTTTTTTCAACTTTCTGTTGGTTTTTTTATTGTTTGACAAAAAGTTAAAATAATACCATTGTTAATCATGTTATCAAAATCTCATAATTGTATCATCAATTATATTTAATTTTATTGTTAATCATGTCTTCAACTGTGTCTTAACATTATCAAAACTTGTTTCCAAAAGTTTCCTAAACGAACATCAGAAGTAACTAAAAAAACATGTATCACAATTATAAATAATTGATGAAGGCAGCCCATGTAATCTATTATACATTTCGCGAGAGAACAAGACAGCCACACCAACAATATACCATGATCTTTCTGAGTACGTAAAATGTCAAAGACGAACTCCTTACTCACGTCTATCGAAAGTTGTGTTGGGATGGACAAAAGCAGATACAAACCAGCATTTGAAGCTTTTCCCTTTGCTTGTTGACACACTCGACAACATCCACAAAGCATTCCACATCACAAAATATAGACGGCCACGAGTATGAACCAGTCACCGATTTGAAATTCAATAGTATTGAAAAAGCGAATTAGGTTGAAATTGTATGGTCTATGAAAATTCTATTGTTTATAAAATCAGTATTGTTTATATAGGGTAAGCGGTAGCTGTTGAGAAATCAAATCACATCTAAACACTCATGCAAATAAATATTTTGATTGAGTCTTCATATTAAAAAGAGAAATTTGGCTCAATAGCTATTATGAACGTGTTATTTATTTTTGTGACCATTTTAGAGTGTGGTTATGATATTCTATGTATATTTTGTATTAATACCAAAATTGTCCCTATACTTAGTAAGAGAACACAATTCGGCTTTAGGTTTTGTAGGTTTTGCTTACGCTTATTTCAGACGTCTTCTCACCGATACCACGCTTGGCCACGTGTGAACAGATTTGGAACTCCGAAATATAGTTGAGGGGTTATGATAATTTCAAATATATAAAGAAAAATATTAAGGGGCTCGAGAAACAAAGCACCATAGAAAGATAAAAATCAGTTCTCAGCAATTAGGGTTCATAGAGGCGCCGCTTCGAAGAGGAATCAAAAACAACGGTGAAATTGGGGTGAAGCAAATTAAAAAAGGTATTAGAAACCCAGAACGCCGCTAAATCCTTCTACTATACTTTCATATGATATATATTCCTCTCATTGATCCATAAAGAAAGCCAACCTCATTTGGAATTAAATTTGCTGTTCTTCCCCCTGACGCGACAGACGTAGTTCTGGATATTCGGTGGATCATTGTTTCCGAGACTGAAAATTTAGATCCCCTTATAGTATAGTATTGCTTATATTATGGTCTACCCTGTAGTCTAATATGTATTTAGAAGGTGTTATTGGTTCATGTATTTTAATGGATTTGAGAATCCAAACCAAATTCAGTGTTATTGGTTCTTGTATTTTAAAATTTATATTGAAATACAGTGTTATTGGTTCTATGATTTTAAAATCCATAATGAAATACAGTATTATTGGTTCTATCATTTTAGAATCTAAATATTATAAGGATTTGAGTTTTAATTGAATTTGAATGAATTTGGAAGAATTTTCATGACTAAAATACAAAAACCCAAATACAAGGTCTAATCTTGGTATTTGAGTGGATTTGATTTTTTTTTATTTTGCTAATTTTGAAATCAATAAATTTATCAAATCCAAAGAAGATTTATAAATCTACCAAAATACAAGAACCAATAACCTCTACTTAATCTACGAAGAGTATAGGTGGTGGTGTCTCTCTTTTGATTACTCCCCTTTCCTAACCGTTGCTTATGTTTACTGCATTGGAGCTTATGTATAATATTCTTTCTTTGTAGAATGGAGGACCTTGGAATACTGAATCGGCTATTTGAGAATGGATTTGAGCTTACAGGAAGGAAGCGGGTTAATAGTTACTTCACACTGTGGTGGATACAGAACATAAAGCCAGCATTGGAGACAGAGCATTTGGAGTTGTTGGCCGGGTCACAATTTTGTAGCCTGATGCAGAGGGGTCATCATATCTTTTCTGTCATGTTTCTTCATTACATACTGTTGAGGCAGCTGGTCACTAAGAAGAAGTATGAGCTGTGGTGGGTTTTTGCAGGGAAGCCTATACGGTATGTTGTTGAGGACTTTGCTCTTGTGACGGGGTTAAATTGCAACACAGTTACTGCTACAAACAGAAAGAGGAAACGGAAAGTTGAATGCAACGAGTAAGTAGAAAAAGAAAGTGAAAGTAGTTGAAGCCGAAGGGGAATTGTGGAACAAGCTATTTGGGAACCTCAAGAAGGGTACTTGTGAATGGATTCTCAACAGAATTCTTCCAGGCAAGAAATATAAAGATTCTGATACTCGGTCTAAGCTTCCTCTATTGGTGCTTGTGGAGGGCATTCTATGCTCAACCAGCAGTTCAACGAATATCTGCCCAAGTGTTGTAGAGATGTTGTCTGACGTAGATGCATTTCTCAAGCATCATTGAGGCAGAGAGTCATTCGTTATGATGGTTAATAGTGTGAAGACGAAAACGGTTGATTAATACACACAAGACTCCCTAGCGATCCAAGGATTCTCACATGCAATGGTGTTAGTGTATGCTAGTTGCTGCCCGAAGATAGTGGTGAGGCCAGGTGTGTCAGATACAACTCTAAAGAATAACCTCCTCATAGAGGACGTGATTCAATGTGTTGTGGAAAGGAGTCTTTCGATTGTGGTGGGTAGCGCAAAAAACCTTGATAAAAAGGGGCATGTATGTATTAATGTGTTCAGTTCTTCTATTTGTGCGATATAATATAGAACCACTACTAATCTACTATACTATATGTTTATATGGTATAAAACAACTATATGGTAGTGATTTATACTATGCCCACTTCTTTAAGAGTGATGTGTATGTTTATGCACTTACATACAAATGTCCGGTTGTTGTTGACTGGTGACTTGGAAGGAAACGTTGCATGTAGTAGATTTGAAGATGAGGAGGACGATCCTCGGGTTGAACGACTAATAACAATGATATTGGAGGATTATCCGTTTGAACCCAACATGTGGGTTGGTGAGATCAAAGCAGATGATGCCCCTCATCTTAAGGAGAAAAGCAGCCGTAGATAATGAAGATTCCGAAGAGGACTCTCAGTCGAGTGATGGTACCTCCCCAGAAGTTGAGGGGCTTCTTTCCAGTGTTGTGGCCGGTATATTTAACCTCCAACGAGTTGGGGTACACCACCTGCAATAGATAGAACAGATGCAAGAGTAGAGTCGATTACCCCTATTTATGAGGGAATTTTTAAGTAGATGTGTAAATCTTATGAAGACAGAGAAATTTTGATGCTGGAGGGGTATACAGGAAGAGTGAATTTGGTGGTAGAGACTGCGTTAAGTAAATTTAAGGCAACAGTGTTGGAAACGCTAGCTACTCGCACTAGTAATGATCCCCATGGAATACCTCCATTTCCTACAGGGATGCCGGTTTCTTCTGCTGGAGATGGGAGAGGAACCACTCCTGCGATGGACAGAGCAGTATCTATAGATGGTATATCGTACGATTCACTCTGCAGTAGTAATTATCGCATTGTAAAACCAGGTCACGTCTAATATTTTCTCATCGATGATCTATGAAGGTACAAGGTGTCCACATACGAGTTCCGAGGTGACGAATATATTTAACATAGTATGTAGTGAAGTTGCATCGTTGCGGGATGACAGTGTACTCTTCAACACTGCAGAGGTGAACAATTTCTCTCTCTCTATACTATATACAATTAATAAAATAGTTTTTCACTAACCGCTGTCAATTATCAATGTAGAGAACTTTTGAGAAGGATATAGAACCATCTATATGCGGGTTTGGGCCATGTGACCAGCATGAAGGCGATGTTGATAACCCACCAACAACAGATATGGAGGTTGGTTTTCTGTAACTCAGTTTGCAGTATATAGAAACTACTGTAAAAAGCTATTTATGAGCATATCAATGGTGTTGGCCCAGTTTACTAGAAAAAGTAAATATAATGGTATGGATTTAGCTGCGTACAACCATTATATAGGAAAACTGTGAATTTGAATATTAATTTGATAGGTCCTCCATTAACCTTATCTGACCACGTCATACCCCGTCTTTAACTTTTCATTGTAGGAGACTATTGATGCGGGGGCCATAAGAGTAACAGCGGGAGTTGTCGTTGGAGATGAGGTGGTCATCGATGCAAAGGGTCACCCGTCCATGGTAGCGGAGGTGAAGGTTATTGAAGGGGATTTTAACTTATACAATCTAGGTAGGTCAGATAGTTATAGACGTTTTTCGTCTACTTATCCCATGTAGGGGCCCCCGATGGCGGGAAATAGTGAACCGCAGGGCTCCCTTATGCATGAGGGGCACCATATGCATGAGGGGCACCATATGCTTTCTATTGATGAAGGTGCAGCAGACGAATGGGATAGGGTGACACTTGCCCCGCGTTTCAGTACTCGAAAACAGACCAAAACTAATAAATATACGTTCCCTGTCTCGAAGCCAAAGAAAACAAAGAGTAAATAAAAAAATGTGACAATTTTTGTGGATGACTTAGGGACAGCAAAGACAATACATATGGTCCCTACTCCTCCTACAAAATTAAGTCCCTTAATTGCGGGAGTCAACCCATTTGGATCTCTCCCAGAGGGACATGAGGGGCACCATATGCATGAGGGGCACCATATGCATGAGGGGCACCATATGCTTTCTATTGATGAAGGTGCAGCAGACGACTGGGATAGGGTGACACTTGCCCCGCGTTTCAGTACTCGAAAACAGACCAAAACTAATAAATATACGTTCCCTGTCTCGAAGCCAAAGAAAACAAGGAGTAAATAAAAAAATGTGACGATTTTTGTGGATGACTTAGGGACAGCAAAGACAATACATATGGTTCCTACTCCTCCTACAAAATTAAGTCCCTTAATTGCGGGAGTCAACCCATTTGGATCGCTCCCAGAGGGACATGAGGCGCACCATATGCATGAGGGGCACCATATGCATGAGGGGCACCATATGCTTTCTATTGATGAAGGTGCAGCAGACGACTGGGATAGGGGACACTTGCCCCGCGTTTCAGTACTCGAAAACAGACCAAAACTAATAAATATACGTCTCCTGCCTCGAAGCCAAAGAAAACAAGGAGTAAATAAAAAAATGTGACAATTTTTGTGGATGACTTAGGGACAGCAAAGACAATACACATGATCCCTACTCCTCCTGTGAAATTAAGTCCTTTAATTGCGGGAGTCAACCCATTTGGATCTCTCCCAGAGGGAAGAACCACTGCATTTCTGAATCTATTACAAGAAGAGAGGTACATACACTCACTGGTGTACTCTAAATTATTTCTTCCGCTGGCTGTACTACTTATTCGCGTGTAGAATGAATAGGGGTTATGGTAGTGTAGAAATCCCATCGTACCAGTTCATGAATATATTTGTTTTAAGCAGGCCGTTAGCAAAAGAGGTAAAGTAGTCTGTACCCAATGTTACCCATAGATAAATGTTAGATACTACAGATCCGTAAAGTTTGTTTGCTAATTTCAATCTGGATTTGGGTACTTAATATGCGATGCACAGACTAGTCAAGTTTGCGCAGTCACGCTGAGACAAATTATGAAATGTGAGTTGAGGCTTTTTGTCTCCGCATTTCATATCCGCACTTGCTAGAGAGTACACCATCTTTGCCAATATTGAGGCAAAAGATAACCATCTATTCTCCCCTCTGGTTGGCGTTGAGGTTGATGGTCGACCTATATGGTGCTGACGTTGGAATGCTATACTGTATGTATCAGATATATGGCACCCACAAGGTCGGAATTGTGATTGACCTGATGAAATGGGTCATTGACATGTGTGGCAAATGCGACGTTAAGCCTAAAACTGCAGTCGTTGTCGGAGATGCTTTCGTTCTGAATTCATAAGCATTTTGGGTGTTATGCATCGAGAGAGGTCCTTAGGTACCCACTTCCAGTTATTAGGATGGACCTCCAAATATTATGTGAAGTTACAAGTACTGAATAAATCCAATTTTAGTCCACTTGAATTATATAACACTATAAATTGTAATTGACAATTTCCAGGGGCTGCATATGTAAGCATTTCTGCTGTTGCATCAATGCTGCTTTTGGAAATCCATGCAACCGACCAGTTAGATGAATGTCAGTACGTTTCAGATGGAGAGTTATGCTTAGCTGCAGAAAACTACGTGGTTGAAGCATTCGCAGATGTCAAACCTTCTCTCCTCAGCTAATGATGTGGACACCGTGATGTCCCGTGTACAAAATGTTGTAACGCATGTCTCATATGTTTTGTAGATTCAAATGTGACATGCCTTATGTTAACTATAGTGGGACAATCATTTAGCTTGTACTATGCTACGTCGGATGATTTGCTGATATGGTATTTTGGAACGTGGTTATGTGATATTCAGATGATTCCATTGCACATCAGTTATGTAATACTAGTATTTTGACCCATGCTATGCAAGAGCATTGCCCTTTAACTGATAAAATAAAAAAATATAAATATAATTAGAGATTTACTAAATAGAAAAGAAGAAATAATGATTGAAAATATTTATTTGTATCAGTATTCATCAGTCAAAAAAAAATACTGATAAAAAGGAATAATAATAAAATAAATATATTTAGTGTTTAATATATAGATAATTGATATGTATACAAAATAATTTATGATCATCATATGAAAATGTTTAATTAGTAACTGAAAAATCTGAAATAAAAATAAATGTTTAACACTTAAATACAATGATTTTCTCCAGATTTTTCTGCCAAATTCAATTGAAGAAAATATAGAATCATAGTTGAGAAGTGGGCTTAATCTGAATATATATATATATATATATAGTCTATTTTATCTATTTTAACCTTTTTTAGCATACTCTTATAGTTTAACACTTTAAATATATTTTTTTATAAAATTTAATGTTTAACACTTTGATACTTTTCTCCTAACTCACAAAAAAACTCAAATGAATTCCAGAAATAAATTAAATTTCATGCTAATATCTTTGATCTACAAATCATTTTGAGAATCAGATATGTGGGAATCAATTCTAGCAATGATATTCAAAATCGTTCATCCAAATCGTGATATTTTATAGGATGAATGTGTTCATCCTTTATCTTTCGTATGCTTTCAATAATACGTGTTGTAAACCGGTATTTATTGTAACCCAGTTATATCTATTCAGTTAATACAATTTGGGACATTTGCTTATGTGAACCATTTGGAATTTCGGGAAACATTATCCTAAAATATAATCAATCTTCTCTCTTCCTCTATTATCTTCTTTCTCCTCTGTATATAATAATTTGCTTATGTAAGTCATGCTACGCACGAGTATCATATCTTGTTATGTTAATGTGTTTAGAACATCGGTCACCGTTATGTTCCTTTTATGACTTGTATTTAAATGTTTGTGAGTTTTTTATCTGTATATGAACAAAGAAAGAAGATTATCATGTGCTTGCCAATGAACAAATGATCTAGAACTTATCTGAACAAATAGAACGATGATAAAGTCATCTAGAAAAAAAAACTCATACATTCCAAACCAAAGTTGTTGGATCTAGTGTGACACCCGATCCCGGTCAAATAAACCGAACCGATAATGTCAAGATAAGCCAAACGCATTATCCACTTTACAAGTCTCAGAAACTGAAGGCGCTTTGCTTAAAAAACAATTCCACACCACCTGCGATACTGGAGCATCCTGACTCACCTAACCTGCTAGAGGGGATTGAGAGAGAGAAGATAGGGGAATGTGGAGAAGGGTGAGTAATTTAGATTACCCAGGAGAATGAACCTACACTATCCTATCAATGCACCACAACTTAACAAATGCTAAGTTCAAGCCTAAAACATCACCATAGAAAGTCCTAAAGACTTCACACAATAACCTAGCATCACAGGTAACGCCACTGCAAATACCCGGACCACACAATGATGACTTACACCGTGGCACTTGGGTTGCATCCTCCGTAGATTTAAAGTCGCTACACGACTAGCCCGTCGGCCATGCCTTGAGAGCGCTACGTATAGCCATTACTCCCATACCACATGAGTATACG